GCCTCCTTTTTGGGGGCTGTTTTAGATGTGTCTGCAGGAAAACAGGAGAGGCTCACCATAGACTTCTTCCCCCTATACTGTGCTCAGCTATCCAAGTATAAACCCCACTGTGGGGTCCAAGATGGGGAGAGGCAAGTCAAGGTCAAGAAGGTACAGAGGGCAGAGAATGGACTGGGTGCCAGGAGACCTGACTTCCAGCCCCTGTCTGGTAGACTAGCTGCATGACTTTGGACAGTATTTGACTTCTCCGAACTTCAGTTTTTTCCCTGTTCCAGGACCTCTCTGAAAGTGATGGTTAGACTAAAGAGATCAGGTATGCAGAAGCGCTTTACAAACTTTAAAGGCTGATCAGCTGGAGTGAACTGGTTGGATGCTTTCAGCTCCCTTCTGGATGCTGCAGAGGCTAATTACTGTGCCTCTTCTGTTATTCAAAGTTTTGCTTTGTTTATTAGCCATGGCCCGCAGTTGTACAGATGGCTGAGTGCAAAATGCATGTGTCAGGTGTTTGGCATGTCTTGCTCATTCAAGAGGCATGTGTTGTTTGGAAACCACTCCTTTTGCTTCCTGTAGAGCAGACAAGTAGTGACAGCAGCTTACCTGTCTCTCTGCTGTAATAGACTTCTAGTTTAGTCACCTAAAACCATTACTAAAGAATTTTTACATGGAATTATTTTACTTGAATAATTCATTCTTCTAATTCCTAGGATCTCTTCCTTTACATTTTTCATTTAAATATTTTTGGAAAAAAGTAACAGTCACATGGTTTAAAATCAAAACAGTATGAATTAAGATAGGTTATTCACCTATCCCTGACTACCTCACACCCCCTCTCTACCATCCCTTACAGTTAACCATTTTTATTAGTTTATATTNGCCTGTAACGTATTCATGTGGGTTATCATTTTGCAGATATTCAGTACATCCTTACTGTTAGGAACGTCCAAGAGAAGCAGTACCATCCAGAAGTGAGATAGAAATGATATGACGACAGTTTATGTTTTGGATTATGGGTGCCATTTTTTCCTCTGTTATCTCAGCTAACTTTTGTTTATTTGTATCTTATTTTGGATATGCTTAAAGGATTGAAGTTTGCATTTTGCCTCTTAAAAAGATTGGCTATTGGTTGCAAAGAACAAGTCTGTGTAGTGTTCTCCACAACCAGATCAGAGCTTTGGAATTTGAACCTTTGAAGGTCGGTGATTTGTGTTTGTATACAAACAGAAACCCACAGAGGTGTGCATTTAACCACCCACATAGAGTCTTGATTTTCCAGCATGAGTGTAGTGAATAAGATCAAGGTAGTCTCGGATGTTGTTAATACCAGTTTGCTCCTTCTCCTGAGTAAGTCAAGCTTTGGATTATACCCACCAGCCCATGGTTGGACATCATGGGGAACCACCCAAAACTTGGAAGAACATTTGTTTCCTTGGCTTGAAAACTTCAGAGAATGAGTAACAGGAAGCGGAGGATGTAGTGTCGTAGTTCAAATACTTCCTGAATCCTGTGTCCTGATTTCTTCATCTTCCTCCATTCCACTCTAGGGAAAGACATTCCTGGACAGGCATCCCTGGTATTTGATGTTGCATTATTGGATCTCCATAACCCAAAGGACAGCATTTCCATTGAGAACAAGGTAGTACCTGAAAACTGTGAGCGGAGAAGTCAAAGCGGGGACTTTCTCAGGTATCATTACAATGGCACACTTCTGGACGGCACCCTCTTTGATTCCAGGTAAGGAAATGGCTGGAGCCGTCCCTCACCAGAATATTTTATTAAATAAAGTCCACCACTGTCTGGGTGATGATCTGGATACTCTGTCAGTGCTGATTTGTGGTTAGTTTTGTCGTTTCCAATACTGGTTTTTGTTTTCTGATACTGAATTCCTTCATAGGCTGTTATGACAGCCTCCTTTTTGGGGGCTGTTTTAGATGTGTCTGCAGGAAAACAGGAGAGGCTCACCATAGACTTCTTCCCCCTATACTGTGCTCAGCTATCCAAGTATAAACCCCACTGTGGGGTCCAAGATGGGGAGAGGCAAGTCAAGGTCAAGAAGGTACAGAGGGCAGAGAATGGACTGGGTGCCA